AGGGACGAGACACGAATTATACGCATTTCTTAATTAAGGATAATAATTATTTGATAATGAATGATTAAACGAAATCGCACGTTAAATTGTTATCAATTCCACAGATAACATTCGTACCAGGCTGCATTTTTTCCCTCTAATCAGAATGCGAAATTACATTCCGTTCGTTCTGATTGGAGACGAATTCGAAGGACGAAGAAGAAGAAAAAGAAGAAGAAGAAGAACATTAATCGAAAAAAAAACGCTGAAAAATGGCGTTTATTCTTGTTGATTTCGAGCGAGTGTCGAGTAATCTTTTAAGAGGGCCGTTTGCAATCTGCGCAATTTTAGATTTAAGATTAAATCGAGGAAAAGAAAAGTTTTTGCTCTTCCCCTCCCCCCCTCCAAAGCAAAAGTAAGATTAGGGGAAAAAAGAAAGAAAGAAAGATGCGCGCGAGAGAAATGTCGGATCATCGATTAGCTAAATTTTCTTTCGCTGTATATTCGTTTTAATCGATTCGTCAATCAGTAATTTCAACTTACAATGATCGCTGATGAATTCTTAAAAATAAAGAAAAATGCGTACGTTCACATATACACGATGTTCTGTGCGTACATGAACGTGTGTGTACGTATGTGGGTCACCGTAGATATATAATTTAATGTATCCGTAATTTAAATAAAAACAAATTTATCTAATAAGATAATGCGAATTCTTGTTTGAAAGAAAAGTTTTTCAACATGAACGAAACGTAAGATTTACATTGAAATAGAAGAAGGATAATATAATTAAGTTTCTTTCTTTTTAAATATCGTATCATTTTTCGTGTGTTTATTATTGTAATACATTAAGATAAGATAGTCTATTGTACATAAATAGCTACTCTCCTATTTTTAACCTAGAATTTAATGCTCGAAGATTATTTTATTTTTTCATATACTTCTTTTTTTCTTTTGTTTCGTAGCATCCAAAACGCGATTCACTTCATTGGAAACATTCTGTTCACCTCCGAATTCGCCATAATAGTTGTTATCGATGGTTCAGGAATGTCGGGCAATTCTCTCTTGGCAGCTCGAATGTCTCGTAAAGATAGATTCACGTATTGCGATATGGCAGAGAGATTTTTCTTTTCGTCGGAACCCAGAGTGCCCATCCTCGTTATCGATGAAACGAATTGATAGTCGCTCACGAAGATGCGACTAGTTGAAGTTTCCTAAAAAAAAAAAGGAAAAATAAAAAAAAAATTTAACTACTCCCACGATAGAATTTAACTACTTTTCTTACGCGTATAAAATAGAATAGAAGGTATAAATATATTCAAGAATTGAAAAGGATTTCACTTTGACAAAAAGAAAACGGATCAAATTTCTCAACGATGAGAAAACAATCTCTTGAAAATGGCTCACTAGATGAGAATGAAGATCAGGCTCGACGACAACGTTGGCACCGTAAGACCCGAAATAGAAAGACGCGTAGTAGCTGCAATTATTCAAATTAGTCGTCTTCTGGATCACTATAGTCTCGCTCGGGACCTTGTTCAACTGCGGCAAAGATTCCAACTCGTATCTGTTGTTCTTTATCTTGTTCATCATCCTCTTGGACGGATAGTGATTGAGACCGATCGTTACCGCGCACTGTCCAATGGTCGTGTTCTCCAAAATGTCGAACGTTCCATCCGGAACGCCGTTCAGATCGACACCGATGTTGAACCTCTCGGATATCAATTTCACGTCGTTCAGAAATTCGACCTGGATTCGATCGTTCACTATCAAATAATCGACACCGTGCTCGTTGAATTTTATCTCGAATGGTTCGCTGCTGATCAACTGTCTCATTTCTTCCTCCGACACGTCCATTCTGTTGTCGTTAGTCAGATCAACGCTTTGCCTCCTCGTGTTTGCCAGGTGACAGCTCAACCCGTCGGATCCTTTCGGCCTGCAGAACAGGTTCATGGCCGTGTAGTTGAACTTTTGCACCCCGTCGTGGTTCATCGGGGTCGAGGTGATGTTCATCTCGACGTCGAAAACGTATTCCGGCCCGTGTTTCCACACGCTCTCGTCGACCGCCACTTGGGCAACTGAAATTAAGTTTTCGAGTTTTTCATCTATGCCGAGTGGATTTCGTTATTGATCGATGTTTCATAAATTATGATTAATTGTTGATTACTTCAATCGATCGAAGATGGAATAAAGAAAAATAGTAAATATTTCGATGGAATATGACTTGGTTCAATTGATCGAAATTTTTCTTTCAACGAGGACAACACAATTCGAGTTTAAAAGTATCAAATTTTCGTTTCGATAAGAATAATTTTGTGTAAATTGAATGAAGGAAAAATAATAAATGAAAGAAATAATTAATAAGTTATAATGTTTCTGATCATTTATTTTTCTCCGTGTGAACGGAAGCTATGATTTCCAATTAGTTATGAATTATCATTCACATAAGCAGTTCCTGGCCCGATTCAGCCAGATTGACGATAAAGACGGTTAAATGGAAAATTGGCTTACCGACCTAAGAAGAATGGAATTAATGAGACGAGCATGTCGTACCGCACCGCTCTCAACTGGTTTAACACTCTTCTTCGGCTTGAAGGTCCTTTTATATCAGCCATACTCTGCGATGACCTCGGCGTGTAATTTAATTAAGCCATCCCACCATTGACGATTCAATCATTATGTCAACTTGGAAAACCTCTCGCTATTTTCGAGAAACGAAGTAAAATTCGATATACATTGATTAATAGAATTGATTTTCGAGATGCAGAAATTAAATTTTTTCGAAAATATCTTTCAGCGATAGCAATAAAGTTAATGGAGAATGTAATTGTGAGCGATTTTTAATTTACGAAATTTCAGCAATGTATGTCATTTTTATGTCGAAACGATAAGAGAAATCTCGAATAAGGGAACGAGAGGGAAAAAAAAATATCACGGACAAAATATTAGATAATTTTTACACCACAATTCACGTTATCCGTATATACATATATTAAAAAATTTATTTCTTTCCTTTATTATCAAATATATTAATATTCAAGTGGAATCACTTCAGACAACTATACTATACATTATTTCTCCGTATACTTTCATATTCTTTATTCAAAACAAAATCGCATTCTTCTATTTCAACCTCTATATCACTAGATTGTGTTTCATTCCTTCTCTGAAACGTAGATTCACGACGTGATCGTAATTTAAAAATGGCAACGGCTCTTTGGCAGGCTCTATGTCCACCAACTCCACGGATGATATATCCTGCACGATAAAATCTCTCTCCGCTAGATTCACCATCTTGACGTGCATCTCCGTCCGACTACGGAACGTGTCGTCGCTCACGTGCATCTTGCTCGTAGATTTGCTCTGCAAAATAAACCACGCGCCAGTTGTAGTACGTGTCACCCTTTTCCGTTACGAACAAATATCTAATCGACAATTGTCTCGCAGATACGTACGATTTTAATATTCAATTCCGATTTTCCATCAACCGGTTCCTGCAATTTCGTACATCTCTTGCTCTCCATAGTCTTCCCAATCACGACGACAGAGTTCGATCGTCGTCGCGGCAACGACAGAATTTCTAATTCGTAATTTTTCCCCTCCTCCTCCTCCTCTCCCCTTCCATCGTTCCTCGTTTGGCCATGCGCAACCACGTTCTCGTCTTTGTCGTATTCGAAAACGCTGAACAAGGTGGGACAATCGCCCAACGCGTATCTCTCTCTCGCAAAGAATACCGGCATCGAGTTCACATTTTCCCTCAGATCCGTTCCAACGCTCAACTCTTTCACGATGCTTCGTATGATGTTCAATTGTTCGTCCTCGATCACCGTTGGAAACCGTAGATTTTCGATACCCTGCGGGCTGAATTCGATCAAAAAGGAATATTCCATGCTGCTTGTCTCGGGATAATGCTTTTCCGCTATTGCCACGTCCTCGAAACGACAGTATAACCTGTCAATCATTTCTGGCCGACATCTCATCGTGGTCGTCACGTTTATGATCAACAGTGGCTCGTCTAGAACGTCGGCGGACAACAGATACGTGAGATTCGCGTGGAACACGTATTCCGGGCCGAAAATCCACTCGTTTGGACGATCCACGAGAACATTGGCCGCTGGATGAGAGAAAAAGAAATTAAATTTTAGAGGTTATAATTCTCGTTTAACAGGGAATACAAAAAAGCGTAATCTGCTAATAGAATTTTGGAAAAGAGAAAGTGTTTTGAAGCGATTTCGAAAGAAGATGGAGAGAATGCAGAATTTAATTAATTTATTCGGATTAATTAGCTTACCGACCTAGAAAGAATGGGATTAATATGAAGTTCATGTTGATGCGGCGTGTTTAACTAACCGAATTGGCTTTCTTGCGGTCGAAACCTCCTTTATAGCAGTGGCCACTGTGGAAAGAATAATGGGCACCATGTGACGAAGTTAGCTTCTTCGGACCGCGCTTGCGTCCGTTAATTCGATGTAATCCTTGCTGCGGCGTAGTTGATGTGCACGTATAAGTTACGTGTACGCTCGTATATCACTTTGTAACTTTTGCACTTTGACGATTAGACGAGTTGGTTTCAGGGAAATCGTCGTGAAGTGGAAAATTTTAGAATTGACGGTCAGGAATTTTATTTGAAAAATCATGATTACAATTTTTTACTTTAATCCGAAGAGTAGAGAGCAATGATCGAACAATAATAATATAGGAATAAAAAATATTGCATCGATTGGAGAGATTCTTTCGATAAATTTTTCTTTTACATTACCTTCTGTGGAAATTTTCTTTTTTTTTTTTTTTCGATTGTAATAAAATACGAAAGAAACGGTATAACATTACAAGAATTGACAAAAAATGACAAGGTATATTTTGACGTTGGATCAAATCAAATACGCGACGAGTTAATTTTCAGTCAAATTAAAGGACTGTCCGATTCATTTCGATCGAGAATAAAATTATTCGATTAACAATATGATTCATGAGAAACTAGGAATTGGTCGAATTAAGTTCCATTTGACACTTCAACGATCGTAATTTGTATTATGAATGGCTCGTATTGCCGAAGTGTGTTATTCTATTAAACTCGTTACGTGGCTAATGAAAGAGGCCATTTTTGTCTCGTTTGCATTATTTATTTTTCTAGAAGTGGCTCGAACGGATCATGAAATCCTGATCTTTAGAAACTTGCAATCGTTTCGCAAATATTTTTTATAATATTTTAATATCGCGACTAAGACAGATCGTTCTATTCTCGTATTTTAATCGAGAAATGGAAGATAAAAATTTTTGCCTCGATGCTACATTTTACGTCGCAAACGTATTTCTCTGAATTCTCTGAATAATAAAGCTTAAACCTTTGCAGCACGCAAGCTTTATGCATTAACTTCAAAGAGAACTTTGCGTGTGCGTTTGACAGTCGAATATAACTGCTCTCTCAGGGCGCGAACAAACCACATTTAACTGACTGATGTCGCTTTTGACAACGAGTTGACATTCTATCGATTGCTCTCTGTTTCCTTCTTCAGTTTTGAGAAAATAAATAATTCAATCGGAACGAATCTTTCTTTCGATCGAACGAAACGTTCTTTTGATCAATCTTAGAAGTGTTAATTTATAAAACGGAAAAGGAACGAAATAATAGAAATAATGGAAGCTAGTCACAAGCAAGCTTGTTAATTCTTCTAGTTATCGTAATTGCAAATTTTCGAACTTCAATTGTATATATATATATATTATGATAGATTATTTCCTTTTTAATCTTAAACGAGATAATTAAGCACTGATTGACGCAATGACGAGGAATATTGCGTTTTTCTAAGAATTTTCAATTCTTTAAGAAGAAAAGCAATGAAAGAATATTAAGAAGAATTTTGGAAAGGAGTTTAAAAATACAAAGGAAGATTATCTTTTCTGCTTTTTGTTAATTCATTCGTCCAAACGCCTCAAACGTGCAAACTTTGACACTTATTCGATTTTACGATTTCGATCGTAAATCATAAAACAGAGACGATGTTTTGCTAAATAACACTGCTGAAAATTGAAACATCTCTGATTTTTTACCGCGAATATTTGATCTTTAAAGAGAAAACTGATGTAGCAATGCAGAAATTAAAAGGATTTGATTTATTATTTTGTTTTTGAAAGAATATTTATTTATTTTGTTGGAAGAAACAAAAATAACAACATAACAACAAATAATTTACATTGATTACATTTGAATAAAATTATGACGTATTTATTCTAACATTTATTAATTATTAGAATTACAATTTAAAAATTTCATTCAGAATTTATTTGATTTACAATTAGTTAATTTATTCGACATCATTTATAATGTGTATAAATAAACATTAATTTAAATGGTAACATTTGAAAAATAATTTCCAAAGATTTATTTTATTTAATCAATATTTCTTTCATATTAAATTTTATGAGAACAACTCTCTAATATTTATTTTTAATCAACTTTTTAAACGAGCTAATCTTTTCTTTCAGAATTTCTTTTGGGATCAAAAAAATATAATTTCTCTCTTAACATACAATATGAAAATATCGTACGATTTCACGTCATAATTTACTAGTTTACATCGCTTCAAATTTCCAATACAACTAAAAATGTAATCATTTGTACATTTATGCAGCAATTTATTTGACACGTTGAATAAAATTTAGATTAAGCATTAATTTTTAATGCCTAAACGTACATTTCGTGTTACAAATTCATTTGTTAAAGACAAATGTTCATTTATACTCGGGAATTCGCTCCAAATTGGTGTACGCGTACAAGCTAGTAGACGCTGGGTTCACGATTTCCCGGATTGGAATTCGGGCAAAATTTATACTTTTCAAAGACAAATTGATCTTCTGATGCAAATTCATCGTTCTAGGTCTGTTCAACGTTCTCATCACGCCTGTAGACTCCGTGAACGAAATTATCCCCTTCCGCGAGATGTATATACGACTGACAGACGTGGTCTGCGAACGAAACGAGATATAAAAAAAGAAATATAATAACAAATTTATCCAAAAACGCATAGATCCAATCCTCACCATGTCCATGAAAATATCCCTCCTGCCAAAGCTAAAATCCTCGTGATTTCCAAAGAAGTAGATCTTCCTGTTCGGGCACCTCTTCGGATATCTCACCTTCTCGATTCGAATACTTCCCCTGCTCAATGGCACCATGCCTGCCCGTTCGGGCTCCAACATGATCTCGAACTTCTCATCGCTCTCCTCCCCGTATCCCGCCCTCGACACCTTCACCTCCACCTCGCAGTAACCGATGCTGGAGTTCTCCATGGTGAGGAACCGATCGTGCTCCTTCTCCGCCGTTAGCTCGAAGCCAATGTTAAGCTGACCGACAATCGCCCTCATCATGTCCAACCTCCACCTGGCTATATCCCTCGACACGACCAGATTCTCTATACCTCTCGCGTTGAACCTGATCTCGAACGGTTCCTCGTCCACGAATCTGTCGCCTATCGGGACGAAATTTCTCGCGTTCGAGCATCTCTCGTTCTTGGGATCCGGTCTCACTATCCTTCCGTTCGAGAAATGGCAGTTCAACGTGTCGCTTCCTTTCGTTCGACACTTGAGCTCGGACGCGATCATGGAGCAGATCGTGTCCTCGTCGTGCACGATGTTGGACAGGGACATGTTCACCAACACGTCGTAAGTGCATTCGGGGCCGTAACGTTGCCAGTCGGAATCGTCGTGGTACGCGTTCTCGCGGCCGGGCACGCGTGTCGCTGAAACACGGAGACGGATGACGCGTGGATACGTGGCAAGATGATACGAGCAGAGGGAGGGTATTGAATAAGTAGTTGAAAATAAAGGTGGTTCGAGTAATTACTCGTCGAATAATATTTATTCGTGATTTTGATCTTTTCGTGTAATTCTAATTATTATTTCATAGCAGAGGGGAGAGATATTAAGTTATGCTGAAAAGGTAGCTAGTTAAAAATAAAGTTGTTTCGAATAATTATTTGTTAAAATAATATTTGTTGAATAATATTTATTTGTAGTTAGTCCACTTTTCGTAATTAGAATTATTATTCTAGAGCAGAAGAGGGATATTAAGTTATTAAGTTATTAAGTAAGAAAAAATAGCTAGTTAAAAATAAAGTTACTTCGAATAATTATTTGTTAAAATGCTCGAATAATATTTATTTGTAGTTGATCCGCTTTTCGTGTAATTTTAATTATTATTTCATAACAAAGAGAGGAAGTATTACGTTGAAAAAGTAACTAGTTAAAATAAAGTTATTTCAAGTAATTATTTGTTAAAATGCTCGAATAATATTTATTTGTAGTTGATCCGCTTTTCGTGTAATTTTAATTATTATTTCATAACAAAGAGAGGAAGTATTACGTTGAAAAAGTAACTAGTTAAAATAAAGTTATTTCAAGTAATTATTTGTTAAAATGCTCGAATAATATTTATTTGTAGTTGATCCGCTTTTCGTGTAATTTTAATTATTATTTCATAACAAAGAGAGGAAGTATTACGTTGAAAAAGTAACTAGTTAAAATAAAGTTATTTCAAGTAATTATTTGTTAAAATGCTCGAATAATATTTATTTGTAGTTGATCCGCTTTTCGTGTAATTTTAATTATTATTTTATAGCAGAGGGAAGGAGTCTGAGTTTTGTTGAAAAAATAATTAGTTAAAAATAAAATTATTTCGAGTAATTATTTGTTAAAATGTTTGAATAACATTTATATTATATTATTATAATTGATCCGCTTTTTGTGTAATCTCGGCCTTGTTTGGTATTACAATTATTATTATTATGGTTTGTACAGTGATGGACAAAAATTAATAGTTGAAATTACGAATAAAATTACTTGGATAAATTACTTCAATATAATTTATCATTCAAAACAGAATAATTGGAAATAAATGGCAAACAATGGCCAAGAAAAACGGATCAACTATAATAGCTACGAATAAATGTTATTTAAGCATTTTAATAAGTAGTTACTTAAAGTAATTTGAGATTTTTAACTAGATTTTTATTTTTTCAATGGGCCAATGCCTCTGGTTTTGAACGACATTATCGAAGTTCACTGTTGAAAAGAACTCTGATGAGACGGTACAGAAGTAAGAGGGATTCTTCATTAGAACAAGATTTATCTTCATTTTAGACGCTTTGTCGACGATCCTGACACGATACATTATTATAATAGAAGAGATATTGATTCATAGAATTAGTATATGTAATATCACGCTAAAAAATACGTGTGAAAATAGATTCCATATTAATCACAATCGATTAAATGCAATCCTTGAAACAACAAGCCAGATATATGGAATAATGGAGATATCTGCGATATATCGATGATATTATCGATCGTAAGAAATATTTTTACCTTGTGTAAAAATAAAATATGTAACGAAAAGTGTATAAGAATATATGAAATATCGTTGAAAAAGATAGAATACGATGAATATTTTATTTATGAAATGAAAGTTGAAGAAACGAAAAGCATACAGGTACATACCCAACAGATATGGCAGAATGATTATCAACATGTTGGAAGGCTCCTGCTAAGACGACTGATACGATCGTGTTCTATCTGTCTTCTCTTTATACGACAGATTGAACTTGATTCATTACCATCTCCTTGAAAATAATTTCATTAACGATCGTTTCCTGCGTATTGTGGTTCCTGCAGACATCTTCTGTATCGTTTCACGTGTCTGATATCATTTTCTAACAGTTCTCGGATCGTTCTAGCTGAGACACGCCTTTTAAACGAGATTTTAACTCGGTTCTCGAGCTATGTTTAACGAATCTAAAACGAACGATAGAACGTTTATTTTTTTGTTTTAATTCCACGTTGTATTCTATTAAAATTTGAACGTTATGATCAAAGGTGTTTCGAGGGTGAATCAAGGATCGAGCTCATTTGACAGTAAAGGTAGAAGATCATTGTAAAATCATATGAAAGATCATTTCAAGATCGAAATTGTCAAAATTTCAATCTATTTAAAAAGTGTTTGAGATAATCGTTCAAAAATAGAACATCATTTTAAGTTCTTTCAAAGAAAAATAAATCTGTCATATCAAATCTATAGAAATATGAACAACAACAAAAATAACTCGCTCTGCAAATTATTTTATTCGCAAATTTTTTTCTGCTCCTTTATTATCCTTTATTATTATATTTCATATATTAATAAGCCAAAATCGAATCGAATCTCTCATTCATTCGACAATTCAATGTAATACAATATAATAACTTTTGATCACAAGTCCGTTTTCCATTATTAAATGTCAAAAATTGAACGATTTTTTTTCGGCCTTGTCTAACGTAAAATTCTTCTTCGACGCAGTTTAAACTGTGGGGAAAAAATAGTTGCTTTGAAATTTGAATATGGCGTTAACTTTTATGTCTCAATCATCGCGCCGAGCGATGAAACGATTTGATTAAATAAGTGGCGTGTCTCGGGTTCGTGTAAAATTTTAAAAGAGTAACGAAATGGATTTAATTGTTTTCCTCGTTTCGAGAACGCCGATGACACCATTTATGCCGATTGAATTAAACGCCGTGTACGTATCGTGTATCTTCATTGCCAATCGATCCACAGATGCGCGACGCGATAAGATCCTTGCTTCCTTCGAATCGAATTATTATATAGTCTAGTCGCAATTAAAAATCGCTTTCAACTCACAACTTTCCAATCTCTTCTTCTTTAAGATTAAGACTAAGATTAAATCGAAAGCGAAGACGATTCAAACGATTATTTAATCTACTCCAAAGTGCCACGATTCGTTCGAAAGAAATAATTGACAGCTATATTTAGTTTGTAGGAGTAAGTGGTTGGTGAATGGACTGGAGCGCTTTATAACTGCTCGCGATGCCACTATATTTACTTACGCGCGAATAAAAAAATTTCATGGATGCATTCTTCCCGAATATATCCACTGTTTCGATTAGAAGGAAAGAACTTAAACAGAATTTATTTGTACAAACGAAAGAGCGCTTTATTATTTACAGAATCGAACGACAAATGCACACTTACAATATTATTTACAACAATAGTGGTATACTTGAATTTTATTGTCATTCAAGGCCCTCCAAATCAAACCTCCAACGACGACGACGAGTCTCCATCGTCCTCCTCCATCGAGTTCTCCATCAGCCATCTACCTATGAACATGCTTGCCAGCTCCGGATCCTTCACTTCCGGTGGATCGTTGCTCGCCGCCAATATCGATTCCAATCTCACGCTTATGTTCTCGTATAGAGTCGTAACCATCCCCTCGGACACCTTGCTGGTAGTTATCACGTTCGTGGTCCCGGATATAAACTCGGTCGAGGTGATCGCTATGTGACTTTCCGACGAGCTCTGCGAATAACGGTTTTAAAGAAAAAAAGAAAAAAAATCGATCGAAGAATACGAAGAATAATACGAAGAGCGACGAAGAATATACTCACGACAGTTGACACCACGTCGCTCATCTGTTTCATACCCTCCGCGCTCCCGAAGAAATAGGGCACATTGTGCGTGCACATGTGAAGATTCCTTATCTTTCTGATCTCCACCAATTGACCGTCCTTCAACCCGAACACCGTCTCCAGAATGTAATTGCGACCCGCGCGGCTCAAACCGGCGACTGTGTTACGTTCGACGGTGAACATGGTCACGCACTCGCCCTGTGTGAAGTTCTCCATCAGCTCGAACGTTCGATCGTACTCCCCTACCAGAGCGCCTATGTTCAACTGTCCAACGATCACCCGAATCATGTCCAACTCCCTCGGTTGCACGTTCTCGTTCACAACCAGGCTATCCAACCCCTGCTCCGTGAATCTGATCTCGAACTGATCCTGATTGATCTCGTACGCCTCCTGCCTCGACACCTGGCTCACGGGGATCGCCGGCGAACCCGGGTCCAAACTTTCCGTCACGTAACTGTCCGCCTTCGACTCGCGAAAATGGCAGGTCAACGCGTGGAAACGTTTCGGCTGGCACACCAATTTGGACGCGACGTTCAACCTGATGCTTATGTAGCTACCTTCCTCCGGGATCGCGGTCGAGTTCACTTGGACGTGGAAGATGTACTCGGGCCCGTGCATCCACGGGCTTTCGAGGAAGACACGAGCGGCTGAAAGAAATAACGCGGGACGATCATGTTTTCGGTTCACGTTCCACGGTCCTCGCGATTTTTCCGTTCCCTCGAAGTGGACAGGGACTGCGCGCGCAGCAGCATCTCTTCCCCCTCCGCCTCGCCCACGTGAACGCGAGATTGAATGATTGGGGCTGGTTCGAATGGAATCGAATGGATTATGCCTCTCTCGTATCACGTGACGCGATAGATCTTTATAGTTTTGACTTTCCGGCCAGGGAGGAGAGCAGACTTTCGGAGGTTTTCGGATCGAGTCGCGATCTGTACGAAATATTGAGGAAGAGAAGGGAGAGGAGAGCAGGGAAGTATAAAAGGAGAATAAAATGAACGGAGGGAAGATTGGATTTAATTGATCGAGGTTATGGACGACGAGGTGGATCGACGATAGTTGTTCCGTGTCGAGTTCGAGAGTGGAGGGCTTAAGCGGGAGGAATAAGGGAAAACGGGACGGGAAGGAAAAGGAAGGAATGACGGATTCGGTCCTGTGATCGGTGGCTTACCTAAGAAAAATGGCACTACGTTCAGCACTACGTTCATGGTGGCACCGTGCAACGTTCCAACTACTTTAGTGGGGTAAAGCGGTGTTGGGGCCGCTCTTATACCGTGGCTAAACTGCACTACTGACCTCTTCTTACGATTAGCAAGCTCCAATTTACCGAAGCCTGCTCTCTCTTTCCAGTTGGAAAATAAAGCGTGTGTGTGGTGCACGGTGGTGGCGGTGATAGGTTTAGAGAATTGATACGGTGGTTCGGTGAATCGGGGTCATCACGGGACCCTCCGCGACCCGTTAACACGAAACTGGCCGCCAATTACCTCGCGTGTCAACGACCGACGTGTCGAGACGCGTTACCGTCCATTCTTCTCCTCTCCATTTTCCATTCTTTCCGCATTCTTTTCATCGAGTTTTGCATAGAAACATGGGAAGGAAATTTCGCGTTCGAGATAGATCGTCCGCATTTTCGAACATCGAAATTTCTTAATACGATTGTGTATAGTTTTTGCACGCTTTTCCATGCGATTTTGGACGTGTAGAAGGGTCGAAGAGTTTTTGGAGGGAAGGGGAAGTTTTCGAACTGTGAACGTGTCTCTTTTCGCTTTTGGAACTTCGATCAACGAAACTAGATTCTGTATTAATTTGAAACGTTAATTCTTTTCCAAGAAGCATTGTGTTATATGATTGATAATATAGGAAAAGTAGAAAGAGAAAAAAAGAATCAAATTTCTTACGAGTAAACAATAATTTTAGTTTATAACTTAATGGTCGTTTAAAATTCTAAGTCTAAGTTTCGTGTTGACGGTAGTTTTGTAAACAGCTTGTCCACGCGTCTTTTAACTCGTACTATGCTCGATTGACTAACGTCAAATGAACGTGATCAGAACGGATCATTTGTTCGAATCGTATGTATAGTACATATTTACGCTCTTCAAAATGAGTTAGTTTTTCAAATAAACTAAATGCAATTGGTGGATTTTTGCTGCAAAATAAAGATACCAAAAATAAATATAAATAAAGTAAGCGAATTATAGAAAGAATAATTAACTCATTTATCAATTTTTCGATAGATTTCTCAAGAGCCACATTTTATTCAAACATTTTATTTCCAGATTTATAAATAGGATGTGGAATGAGACAGTATATTTCATAATCGTTCGTTCAGCAGCTATCACTTCATAGAATAAATCGAAATTCTTCCTTGTTCGTCTGATTGTTCAATTTCTTTCATGAAACCTTGTAATCTCGTTCATGCTCGTGTTCTTCTCATCCCTTCTTATCTCTGAAAACTCAACTGATTCGCCAGTAGATGACACGTACGTATCTATGATAATTCATCAATTATATTATTCTTCTCAAACGTGTACTTATCAATTCTGAGATCGTCGAAATAGATCTTGAACATCTGATTCCCAAAATCATATTTTTAGTAGGATGATGGCTTTTTGATCGAACGTGTCAGTCGTGAATTCGGCGAACTTGGTATCTTCGAAACGCCATTGTTGTGGCTTCTTAGACGTTTCAGCACAGATTTGAACTTTTATATTTATCCTCTTCCATATAGCACAAACAATATCAATGATTGTATTGAACGTGCTCCCATTTTTCCATCGATGATCGATTGGTGGACAATTGGAACTTCTGAAACGAAGGAATAATAATCCAAAAACTCATTTTTCCATCGATTGATGGACGACTCCCTGAAACAAAAAAATAATTATCCAAGAATTTATCTTTTCGATGGATGAAGTCTTAAAAGAATACTTATCCAAGAACAATTGCGTCTATAAATCTATGAATCCTTTCCAGATTTTTGCTCTCGAAACACGAGAAAGGACGAGAGGGTGAAAAGTAGGTCGCACGAAGCGATCCTCGCGAAGAAATTTTGCATAATCGGCGGCGAATCGAATCGGGGAGAGGTTTAAACGGTGTTAACGCATCGTTGCAACTAGCTTGACCCGTCCTTCGTGAATCATTGACTACGAGTGTATTAATAAGAGGGCAATCGAGGGATCTAACTGACCTAGGAGAAACGCCACTCGAATAAAAAGTTCGTGCCGTGATTCGATCGAAACTAATTTCTTCTCTCCTTGATGATGATTTGATTGACAGATTTTTATACGTCGTCATCTCGGTTAGATAGGTTAGGGCGCGATTCGATGCACCTCCGCGGATAACAAATTTCTTCGAACGAATTATCTTCACGTTCAAACTGAAATATTATGGTACGAGTATACTCGTAGCCTTGGTCGTGCCACATGCAGGCAAAAACTTACTTCGCGAGTTTGACAGATATTAGAAAATAAAATTATATAAAATTATATAAAATTATAAAAGATAAAAGTAAGAGATAGATATTGAAATGTAGAAATTATTGTATAATATTGTATATATAAAATTACCAACGGGAAAGAATTACACGTAATTAGTGGACGTAATTAGAGTATATTAATAATTGAAGTTTGCAGAAAGTTTCTTAAAGTTTGGGATATCTCTGAAGGGTTTATTTGTCGAATTTCTCATTTAATGATTTCACGTGAACACGCGATAATTAATGGGAAATTAATGTGCGTGAGAGATTGTTGAAATAATCTGATGAATTTAGATCTCGAGATATTTTGATTATTTGGAATTGGAATAAATTGTTTTAAATAATGTTGAATAATTTTTAAGAGAAAGGAGGAAACGGTGTAGAGATAATATTTTATTTTTTCGTTAAATATTGTCGCTTGAACTTTCGATTATATATTATTAGCTTTATCTTTTTTTTTTCCTTTTTTTTTTTTTTTTT